CACGACTTTGAGAATTTTTTACATTTCAGATTCGAACTTTACTTGTCAGCGTTAAAAAATGCAATTTAAACTTTTGCCTCAAAATCTTATAGCCAAACTCCCGTGAACGCGCATTGCATTTTTCTTCTGTACCAAGTTTGCTCAACTCTCTCTTTTTGCTACGTCATCACCTTACCATTTGGATCAGACTTTTTGGCCTAACCACACACAGAAACCACAATGTCTGAAGACGACAAGGACTCGCTGGACTTTTCCATGGGCTCGAAGGCCTTTGCCGTGCCCGATGCAGAGCTCATTCAGTTGATTCTCGGCGAAGATGGTGCCGCCGCTGGTGGCGGTGCTGGTGGGGCCGGCGAAAAGAAGAAGGAAAAGAAAAAGTCCAACGAAGGTGGGGTGGGAGGTGCCACTGCCGCTGGCTCAAAGCAGAAGAAGAGCCCTGAAGGTACGGCGGACATTAACAAGAAGCAGAAGGTGGCCCACGCCACGGGCACCGACAGTACCGTCACGACTCCTTCTATCAGCGGAAGTAATCTTTCCGACGCCCCCTCGACGACCCTCAGTGGCATCAACTCGGCCAACCCCAGCTATCAGGGCGCTGGTTCCACCGCTGTCCCTCCACGTCACACTAACATGCACAGTGCCGGCGGTGCTAGTGCCGGCGGATCTCCTCGTGGAGCCTCTCCCTTGGTCTCGCCAAATAAGCCAGCCAATCCGTACGACAATCCGTACTGTGTGCCGAAGAAGGGCGTAGGTGCTGGAAGTGGTACTGCAATCACTGGTGGTGGTGGAGGAGGAAGTGCCAGCGGTTCGGGAATTGCCAGCGGTGCTGCTGGCAGTGCCTCTGCCTCCACTACCTCTGCTCCCGCTTCGGTTGCTTCCGCTTCCGCCTCTGCCTCATCGAATGTGGCCACCTCAAAGGTGAGCAGCGTCGGCGGAGGCTCTGCCGTCGCCTCTGACTTTGGCGGCAGTGGCGTTGCCTCGGTCTTCTCCGGTGCCAGCGGCTCCACCGCCGGTCTGAGCACTGCTGGCACCTCCGCCCTCAGCCAGTCCAATGCGGGCAGTTCGGCACTGGGCTCAGGGGTGGGCGGCCCTTCAGTGGCGTCCAGCAGCAGTGCTGCTAGTGGTGTTCGCAGTGCTCGAAGCGCCAGCAAGGAGTCGGTGGGCAGCAAACAGAAGGCACGCCAGCTGAAGCACTGCAAAAAGTCAAAGGCCTCTGTGGTGCCCACCAAAAAGAACTCGCTGAGCAAGGGCCTCGAGGACGGGTCTGCTAGCAAGTGAGGGGCCGATGTAGGCTAGCTTTCATTTTTCTGGCCTCACTTTTCTTCTTTTACTCCTCAGATTTTCCACTCCTGAGCCAGCTAAATTTGTACACACTCATACACCAGTGCACCCTTTGTGTGCCGATTACTTTTACAAATTAAATGTTTATTTTTAACTTACCCACTTTTTGTCAAAAACTCGAAACTCTTATGAGAAAAAAATTTAATTGATGGTAACAAAAAAATTGGAGCACAACAACTAAAGTTGCAGTGTTGGTGGTGCTGGATCAATGAGCACACCTTTAGAAGAGGGGCTATGAACGCCTCCTTGCTCACTTGCTCTCGACCAGCTCGCGGACGCGCTTGAAGGCGCCCTCCACCGCAGCGGCCAGGCCCGAAGCTGTGTCTTTGGATTCGAGCAGGTGGAGCCCGTAGATGGCCGGTCCGCTGGGCGAGGTGCAGGCGTCACGCAGGTCACTGGGATGCTTGCCTGACTCGAGCAGACAGGCGGCCGCCGACTGCAGCGTCTTCGTGGCCATCTTCACGGCGACCACCTTCGGCATGCCCATCTTGAAGCCGCCGTCGGAGAGGGCGCTGATGAAGTAGTGCACGAAGGCAAGACCATTGCCGCCCAGGGCGCAGACAGCGTCCATGGTCGTCTCTGGGAAGTACTCCAGCTTGGCCACCGAGGTGAGCACGTCGCGCACCACGGTGGCGCACTTCTTGCTGTCCGGCTCAATGTCGAGGGCGCCCAGGCCGAGGCCGTAGGCGACGGAGGCATTGAGCATCACTCGGTGCGCCTCCAGCTTGTACTTGTCCGGGTGGTCGGGGTTGAGCAGCGTCTGCTTCAGGTCGGTCAGCGGAATGCCGCCCACCAGCGAGAGCAGGTACAGCGGGTGGCGCTGGTTGGGAATGTAGTTGGTGGTGAGGGCCACCGGACGGGTGCCGCCCAGCTTGAACAGCTCGCGGATGACGTGGCCGTGCACGGCGACGAAGACCACGTCGCAGTCCAACTTCGCAAAGAGGTCGTAGTTGCGCTTAGTGACCACGCAGCCGTTCTGCTTGAAGCCGTCCAGCGATCGGCCCGACTTGCTCGACACGTAGATGCGACCGGGGGCGACCTTGGCGTGCCCCACCAGGCCCTTCACAATCGCCTCCACCAGCTTGCCGGCGCCCAGAAAGCCGATGCGGGCGTTCTCCAGGGTGGCGCCGGCGCCTCGCTTGCGACCACTGCCAGTCGACTTGACGCTCGACTTGGAGGCGCCAGTGCGAGAGGGGGCCTTCTCGCCGCTCTTTGGCTTCTCGCTGCTCTTCACCTTCTTATCGCCAGCAGCGGCGGATGATTTGGTGGCAGAGGCAGCTGGCGGATCTTCACTGGCAGCTCCAGCACTTGCACCAGCAGCACCTTCCTCAGCGCCGGTCCCGCCAGCACTGGGCTGCTTGTCGCCGGGAGTGGCGCCAGTTCCGCTGGCTGGGGCAGCTCCAACTGGCGCCTCCTCAGCGGCGCCGCCTCCAGCAGGACCAGAAGAGGCTGGGGCTCCGTCAGCTCCCGAGGAGGGAGCGGCGTCGGCACCAGCATCCGAAGGCGGCTTCGATCCATCGTCAGACATGGCTGCTCGCTAGGGTGATAGCTTCAAGAAGTGTCGCCTCTTGGCAGAAGTAGATTCAAACAGAAAGCAGTTGGCAGTTCTAAAACAGACTAAAGCAACTAACACAACAAAACATTAGATATCGATGAAATGTGCAAAGGTATTGCCCTTTTATGGGCGTGAAAAGGCATTGTTGAACAGGCGTGCACTAACTTCGAATTTGCAATAAAACCTTTGTTTTGTAACAAAGTCATACAAATCAAATGCTCTATTGACTTTGCAACTCAATGTGATTTACACTTTGGCGCTGGCTGCCGTTGTTTTTGAAAATAAAAAAGTCAACACTGAACTCAAAGTGTAGGGGGTGTGTTTAGATGCAAATAAAGTCACTTTACTAAATATACAAATTCAAGCCGACTACTGACCTGCTTCCTCATTATTAGATTTAACCTTCTCATGCTGTAGAAAAGAATGATGCTCATCATTGGATTTGGCTATCACCAGAGGCGGAGGAGGAGGGGGTGGAAGAGGAGGTTGATCAGGTGCTGGAGGAGGAGTTTCAGGTACTAATAAAAGTGTTGTCTCAGGCTGTCCTGTTGGTTGCGGCGGCTCCGGTTGCTGAGGCTGTTGCTGGAGCTGCTGTTGAGGCTGTTGATACTCACTCTGATGCAGTGGCAAGTTCTCCAGCTCAGTGAGCAGGTCTTTGGGAGAGATTCGAGCATCCGGATGCACGAAAATTCGATTAAGAACGTCGGTAAAGAGAGCTGCACTGTGAGAAGGTGTCTGGTTGCTGCTGCTGAGAAAGACTGCCGGGTGAGCCTCTCTGAAGGCCGCCCACTGCTCAATGGCCTGAGGCAGCGTCATCGGCGTGCTGAATGGCTTCACTCCGCACAGGCAGTACACCACGAGGACGCCAATGCTCCAGACGTCCACTTGGAGGGCGTCGTAGAGGTGGCCGAAACAGTCCGGCGGCAGGTGATCCCAGGCGGCGCCCTCCACCTTGTCCTGCAGGCCCAGCGTCCTCGGCATCCACAGCGACTTGACGGGGTTCCAGGCGAAGCAGGCCATGTCAAAGTGCGTCAGCTTGCTCTGAAAAAGGGAGAAAAAGTGTCTGTTCAAAAGGTGGTCATTCAGCGTTGAGTAACCAACTAACCAGTGCCCAGTTTTCTTCGTTCACGTAGAGGTACTCCGGGCGAATGTAGCGGTGGGCCAGTCCGTGGGCGGCCAAGTGCGTCGCCGTCTGCGTCAGATCTCTCACCCACAGGTGAACGTTGCTCAGCGTGAACACTGAACTGCCCTTCAAGGAGGGTGGAAACTTGCGGCTCTCCTTCGACGCCGCCGCCACCTCCTTCACAATCTGCAGCAGTGACCGGTGTCGGGGGAGGCCCTCAAAGAAAAGAATCAACTTCTCCGCCTCGGTCGTCTCCTGGCAGATGAAGGCCTCCAACAAACGGTGCACTCGGCCGCTGATCACGCCTGCCTCAGAGCTGGAGAAGTAGCGTAGTATCTTGATGCTCTCATTGGTCATTAGGTTTCTCTGGGCAGAGGGAATGCGCCGCTTCTGCAACACTCGCGCCAAACAGGGAAAGACGCCTCGAGATACGGTGGAACCAGATCCAGTTCCAGTTGCTGCACCAGCACCAGAGCCCACCACAACACCTCCAGAACCGCCGCCACCGCCCACCCTTTGCGCCTTCAGGAACTGCTCCCCCAGCTGCTCCTGGCTTTTCTGATCAAAGGAAGCCTCTCGAAAGATGCGATACTCAGGCAAGAGGTCGCGCTCCGTCTTCTGCTGGCCCATCCGCTTGAAGCCCTCCAGGTTGAAGATGGTCATGCTGGCGGTGGAGAAGGTCGACGCGGCAATCTGTTTGGGCACTGATTTGNGCTTTTCTGGTCAAAGGAGCCTTCTCGAAAAATGCGGTACTCAGGCAGGAGGTCGCGCTCCGTCTTCTGCTGGCCCATCCGCTTGAAGCCCTCCAGGTTGAAGATGGTCATGCTGGCGGTGGAGAAGGTTGACGCGGCAATCTGCTTGGGCACTGATTTTNTGGAGAAGGTCGACGCGGCAATCTGTTTGGGCACTGATTTGGGCGGTAAGTACGGCGGCGGACTGCTGACGTTGATGTTCTGAGGGGATAAACAAACAGAATGTGAGATCAGAATTAATGAGGAAAAGCAAAAAAAGAAAGAAACCTTGGCGACATCAATTCGGTAGTAGGTGGTTGGCTTCCGGCGCAAGAGCTCCCTTCGGTCAGTGCAGGTAAGGCGAAAGTCCTTGGCCACCTCGCCAATTGTGATGCGGTACTCTGCCTCCACGAAGATGTCATCGAGCAATGTGCGAAACTCCTCGGCCATCATTCGCCGCTCTTCACAGCTCTTCCACAGTGCCAGCTGTTGCGCCTGAGCACTACCAGCACCTTCAGCGGACATCTGCTCAAATGGGGCAGTGCCAGTGAGCAGCTGACAGGTGAGCACGCCCACACTCCACACGTCCACGTGGGTGCCATCGTAGGGGCTGCCGTCGGCGTGGAAGCACTCCGGGGGCAGGTGGCAGAGCAGGTGCTCGGGCAGCTTCACCGGAAGTGGGCTACCGCTTGCGCCGCCCCTGAGGGGCACCGGGGCCCTCATCTCCCGGTCCCAGTAGAGGGCGGCGTAGTCGAAGGCAGTCAGCCGAACCATGCGGTCTCTCCTGCTGGACAGCAGCACCGTCTCCGGACGAATGAAGCGGTGCACCACGCCGGCCAGGTTCAGCTTCTCCACTGCCTCCGCCAGCTGAATGACCCACGTCTTGATGTAGGGAGCCTGGAAGGAGATAATAAAGGAAGATTAAGTAAACAAACCTCCACAAAGTAAGATCAGCCTACCAGACTACTAGAGCCATTCACCCAGGTCTGTCCCCATATTCGATGTTGAAGTGTGCTCTCCAGTGCGAACCACTCCTCCACGACCAGAACCTGCTGCTCCTCGCGCAGGTTGAAGACTTCAAAGACCTTGAGAAAGCAGGCGTGTCGCTGACTTGAGCCGTCACCATGGCAAAAAAACTTGAGAATCTTCAGTGACTCAGTCAGTCCTCTGCCGCGGTACTCGGCGGGCAGATTCTTCGCCAGCAGAATGTGCACGTACACGGTGTTCAGGGCGGAGGTGGTGGCGGGGGCCGCCCCAGCAGCAGCTGCTGTGTTCGGTGAGTGTTTCCGATCTGCAGCAGCGGAAGCCCCAGCAGCAGCAGCACTGTGATCACCATATCTGGCAATGAAGAGCCGCGAAAGTGAGGGCAGATTGCTCTGCGTGGCGGCAGTGTACCGCTCCGGCTTCTTTAGGTACGTCTTGTGCGCCTTCGACAACTCGCCCACCGAGGCCACCGTCTTCATGAGGGACGTCTCCGTGGTGGAGGCAGCCATGAAAGTGGCCAACTGCTGGCTGGATTCTTCAAACAGTCGCTGCCGCTCTCGAAGACTGCTCAACCGCTGTTGGTGTTGCTCGAGGTCAAGCACCGCCTGACCTGAAACGAGCGAAAACTGACCCACTTTGAGGCTTAGGATTTGTTTTGCCGGATCGGACATTTTCTCTTTAGTGTTACGTGTTGGTTCAACAAATGAGCTCAAAGAAAAGCAAAAGCTATTTTTTGCTCTTGCATCGAACATTGCGCAACTTTGGTTTTAGAACTTTTTGCCGCAAATACAAAAATTGTTGACTTGATTAGATTTATTTTGATGAAAATTGTGAAAAACAAAAAACGAAGAGAAAAAGTGAGGAATGACTGATTGGATACGGATAAGTGTTATCAAAGGACGCGTTGTGCGTCAACATTATCAACATCGACGACAACTGCTGCTGCTGCTGCTGTGGTTGTTCTCCACATCTAGCCCAGGCCGTGGTCTTCGAAAAATCCTTGTGGGGTTTCCTCCTGTTCAAAGCAGACAACAAAAGTTATACAACATTGTAGTGTTGAATTGGTGCTAGAGGTGTAAGTGGTGGTGTTTATAGTGGGTAGTAGTGCAAATGCTAACAGGCAGGTGTGCAATGGTTGCAGTTTATTGATACACATCTTTTGTATAAAGTAAAAAATTAAATAAATAAAGAAATAATCAAACAAGAGTTGGCGACCAAACAAATAAAGCAAGGCAGAGAGATTATGGTAGTAATAAAAATAGCGGCTTCTTTGGACTTTTTTGGCTCTGAGGCTGGCGGCACCGGTATCTGAGAAAGGGTGTGAAGGAGTGAAGAACGATCTAAAAGCTCTACGCCACTCTCACTAGATAAAGCCAAAGTCGCTAAAAGCCAGTTCAACACATTCGTCCTGATGAGATGATATTGCAGATTTGGGGTGGTGAGGGTAGTAGGAAGGAAAGGGAGGAAGGAAGGAAGGAAGGAAACAAACGTATAAACAGGTGAGCAAAATGTAACAGAGGCAAAACAACAAGTGGCGTGTTAGTGGCGGAGGTAGCAGAGAAACAGGAAGGGAATAAGTGTGTGTTAGCCAGTGAGTGTGCATGCAGGCAAAACAGAATCAGAATAGCAGACTTGCCTACACGATTGTGTGTGTTATTCCTGAGATAGAAGTTAGTAAGAGGGTAGAAAGCAGCATGATAGTAGTAAAATGTAAAAGTAATGTAAAAGTCTTTGATTGTGCAGCGCAACTGCATGCAAATTCTGCTGCAATGTCCCTACCCAATGTCTACAACAAACCGACAGCGTCGTTCGAACTTTCGACTTACCTCCTGTACCATGTCTTGGGCGGAGATCGCTTTCAAAACGTTCTTCTTGCTTGTCTCCTGAATGAAGCCGCCGACAATGAGCTCATCGAGAATGAAGTACGCCTTCTCAAAGTTGAAGATAATGTCCAGTTCGCAAACGCTGCCAAAGTACTTGTCCAGTAGTTCGACGTAGCGGTGAATTAGCTCCAGACAGAGCAGCTCATTGTCCGACTGCTCGATGGCGCAGCAGAAGTACAGACTGGCGTACCTGGAGAGGAAAAAGTATGAAACGAAATGAAAAAGGAAAGAAACAAGGAACGTTACCGTTTGTAGACAATTTTCATGTCCTGCCACTCCACGAAGGAGCAGTGCTTTGGCTTGCGAGTGAGGATGACGTTGATGAGGTCGCGGGTGATCTTCTTCTTCGTCTTGTCCTGGTGGGCCATGTACCACTTCTGCAGGCGCAGCTTGCCCTGCCGGCTGAACAGCAACATAAAGTGCATCATCTTATGAGGGAGAGACACACGAGGACTGATAATCTATAGTTTAGAGGTAGAAAAAAGACAAAACAGAAAAAAAGGAGAATGAGTTGACAGGTTAGACAGACAGGTCAATCACGTTTGTCTTTTATTAGGGTTAGTATTGGTCTAGCGAGTATTGTCACCACCAACATGATCAGAAGGGCGGTCCAGGAGAGAACATAGGTGAGTATGACAACGGTCTCATTTGGTAGGAAGCATTTGCGAATGCGGTGGCCTGACTGGCTCAGCTCGAGCAGAAGAAAACTGGGGTCGACCTTGTTTCGCCAGCTAAAGGAGGCGACCGTCCACTCGGGGACGGTCATGTTTCCCACACCGTCTTCAGTGCTCACAGTGTGATTCACCGAGCAGCTGTGGTGTACGTGGCCATTGAGTATTAGGCGAGGCTTGAGGCGCTCCAGCAGGTAGTTGCTGGCCGACTTTGAGAAGCAATCTAGGCCACTTCGATGCCGCTTGAAGCGCTCAGAGAGGGGCGCCGAATCACCCTCGCTGCAGATCGATTCATTCAATCGAAAGAGCGGAAAGTGAGTCAGCAAAACGGGGTAGATCGGCCGTGAGTCAGCAGAACTACGATGGCGGAGGTCGCTAAACTGCTTGGCAATCCTCTCAATTCCCGCCATCGCCTGCTGGCAGAGAAAGCAGCTGTCGTTCTGCATCGCCATCGAGTTGAGTCGCACCAGGTGGACGCCGACTTCGGGAAAGCTGAGCAGGTCCACGGGCGAGGTGTTCATGGCCCGGTCAAAGCGATCGTTCAGATAGCGGTTGGTGCGCGCGTGAAAGCCAATGTCGTGGTTGCCGGTGACTACGTAAAGCTTGCATCCAGGTGGGACGCTAAAAAGAGTCTTGAAGCGCTCAACGTACTGCTTAAAGTCGTAGCCTGACGCCCACTGTCCCTCGTCAAAGACATCGCCCAGAAAGAAGACGACGGAGGGTGAAAAGAGCGTCAGTGCACTCTGGAACGACCGGTACATCTGCCATTCACGACGCAGCTTGTCAAACCAGTGGCCCCGAATGGTGCCCAGCAGGTGGGTGTCCGAGAGGACGAGAGCCTTCAGCTGGGGCTCAACATGCTCTTCACCCGCTGAAGACGGCCAGCTGCAGGTGAGCGCAAGGTGGACGTAGTAGATGGCGAATTCACACCAGAAGAGGAGGGTGAGGAGAAAGAGCAGTGAAAGCAGTATCGTCCACTGGACTCGGCTCAGAGGAATTGACGGCAGGAAGCACTGCATGATGGCCGCGATGGTGGTGGTGGTGTGATGATCGAGACGGCATCGATTCGCAAAATGAAAGGTGATCCCAAGTAGACGATCACACTACTTGGCATTGGACTTACATATTGGCAGAACAAAAAATGCGAGACGACGAGCGAGCGTCGAGGAGGAGAGCAGAGGAGATCAATGCGGGCGCCCAATGCTGGTGAACGGTGGCAGGTGTGACTGATCACAAATTCGCATTGATACCTATCTCTCACTCTCTTCTTCTCTTCACCAGATACAACACTTCACTTCGGGGAGATTTAGGATGGGCAACGACGCTACGTAACGCAACAAACAGCAACATCAGTAAAACAACAGCAAAACAACAGCAGTCCCTGAGCGAGTGAATGAAATGTGTCAAAATAGTGGTCGCCGCACACGTGATTTAGCTTTGTTTTTTTCTGCCGCATCCTCAGGATTCCCACGATTCTGGATAAATTTTGAATCATGAAAGTCAACAAGTTTGAAAACGTCTACACGCATTGCGCCGTCAACTGTTATCCTCACTGTCTTGACGTCAAGCATGAGCTAGTTTGTTTTGCTTCACGAAATTCGGTGGCGTTCTACGATCTAGATGTAAGTAAAGCGTTTTTGTTTTTGTAATCTCCTCTGACCTTTTTAATTCTGTTTTTAGAAACGGAAAGTGGTGGCAATATGCTGTCAGCACAAGGACATGGTCAACTCGGTCCGCTGGATTGCCGACTCTGCAGATAAACATCTAATTTCATCATCTGTTGACAAAACATGTGTCATTTGGGAGAGGACCGTGACAGCAGACGAGTCAGTTGATTACGGGGCAAAACTCGTACTAGCTGGCCACACTGATTCTGTGATTGTTGCGGATTCTGTTTGGGACAACAACACGACGTCCTTTATTTCCATTTCATCATGCAACGATAAAGTAGTCCGCTACTGGAAGAACGACAGCCTAGTGCTCTCTAAAGATGTAAAAAGCTTTATCTTCGACATTAAGATTTACGCCAATCTAACCCTCATTCCCGGACTGGTGATCATCACTACTGGATCCAACGAGCTTGTTACCATTCAAAGATTTAACGTGACCAACAGTACTGTCGAAAGTTTAATTTCTCTAAAAGGCCATGGAGACTGGATAAAAACGATTGACCTCTGCCAGTTTGGCGGTAAGTGACTTGAAATCGACTTTAAAGTTTTATTTATGAGTTTTTGTTTGCTATAGAAAACATATTCCTTGCCTCTGGATCGCAGGACTTTATAATTCGCGTCTACAACATCAAACCAGCGTTTGAAAATAACCAAAACAACCTGCACGAGCAGTCATTTTCACTAAAAGAGGAGACGCTCAGCAACTCTGGCAGCACAACAGAATCCGCCAAAGTGTTTGCCGTCAGCTTAGAGACCGTCTTGTGCAGCCACGAAGGCTGGGTAACTGAGGTGAAATGGCACCTTTCTCTGGAGAACAAGCTGTACCTTCTCTCCTCGTCAATGGACAAGACGATCATTCTCTGGGAACCGCTGGACGACATTTGGAATGAGGCAGTTCGTTTTGGCGAAGTGGGCGGCAATGCCATCGGTTTCTTTGGTTGCAACTCGATCCCTAAACGCAATCAAATCGTCGGCTACTCCTTCAACGGCGCCGTCAGCATTTGGCAGAAGCAGCAGTCCGACAGGCAGTGGGCAACATCAGTGCCGATCACCGGGCACTTTAACGAGGTGACCGATCTCTGCTGGGAGCCAAAGGGAGAGTACTTTCTCACCTGCTCAGCCGATCAGACGACCCGTTTGCATTCACACTGGAAGAGTGCTCTTGGCCCGTCCACCACCTGGCACGAAGTCGGTCGCCCACAGGTGCACGGCTACGACTTGAAGTGCATCGCCATGGCTGGCCGGCTGAAGTTTGCCTCCGGTGCCGATGAGAAGGTGATTCGCGTCTTCAGTGCCACCAAGTACTTTATTGACTCGCTGATGACCATTAACTCCTCTTCACCTGAAGGTGGGGACCACTCCTTCTTTGAAGGAAGTGAGGAGGAGGGTATCGCCGAGTGCGCCGTTGTGCCCGCGCTGGGGCTCTCCAACTCGGCCGTGTACGACACCTCGCAGATGACCGACGAGCAGCTGAAGCCGAGGGCGCTCACCGGCCCGCCCACCGAGGAGGTGCTCTTCCAGAACACACTGTGGCCTGAAGTGCAGAAACTGTACGGCCACGGCTATGAGCTGTTTGCGCTGGCGGTCAACCGGAAGGGGACACTGCTGGCCTCGGCCTGCAAGGCCGCCACCGCCACACACGCCGCCGTCATACTGTGGGACTTTAGGAGCTGCAAAATTCTCGCCCACCTTCCCTCGCACAGTCTCACGGTGACGCAGGTGCGCTTCTCTCCTGATGACCGCCTCCTGCTCAGCGTATCCCGTGACCGAACGTGGGCGCTCTTTGATGTATCAACTGCAGCAACCACGGGGGCGGGGGAGTTTCCCCGTGTCGCCTTCAGCGACAAGCGCACCGGTGTCCACTCGCGAATCATCTGGGACTGCGCGTGGACGCCTGATTCGAGGGCTTTCCTGACCTCATCCAGGGACAAGTCGGTGGTCATTTGGAGAATAGAAGAGGAGAAGAGTAGTGGAGGAGGTGACGATGAAGGGGCAGCAGCAGCATCATCTGCCCTTCAAGTGACCTCCCTTCCGGCGGTGCTAACGCTCGACGAGTCGGTCACTTCGGTTGATGTGCACGGCAGCCTTTGCGATCCATACCTTTGCTGTTTGGGCTTGGAAAATGGTCACCTACTGTTGTACAGCTTCAATCTCACTGGCGTTGGTGATTGTTGGTCACTGCTGTGCAGCTTTGATCGGCATTGGTAAGTGTTTCTTTTGTGCGCTCTGAAAATGTGTTTAATCTTGCTTTTTCCTTCAGCCACACGCATGTCATCAACAGGGTTCGGTTTTCACCAAAGACAGTCCAAAGCAAGGAGCACCGTACCGCTGTAGTACAACTGGCCTCTTGCAGTAGTGATCGAGCGGTGAAGTTGTTTGAAGTTGAGCTTGATCTTTGAGAACAACACACGGCTCTGTTTTATGTAGTAAAAGGTAATTATTGCTCTTGTTTATTTTCATTCATTTGTACAGTTTTTTTGAGACAGTGTGTGTGAAGTTTTGTTTTATTTCGGCATCTTTTTGATGAACTTTAATGCGGCCGAGTTGATGCAGTATCGCGTCCTTGCCGGAAGGGGTCCATCATCAAACACATGGCCCAAATGTGCACCACAATTGCTACAAGTTGTTTCAGTTCGAACCATGTCTATATTGAAAAGAAATGTAAATGACTACCCTTCATGATCTGATGTATGGTAGACTTACTATGAGTGTAGTCATCCGTACAATCAACAGCGTCACCGGAGACTGGCTTGGAGAATGCTGGCCATCCGCAATGGCTATCAAATTTACTCTCGCTTGAGAAAAGATCCTTTTCGCAGACCACGCACAGGTAGTCGCCCTTCTCGGTGTGATCGGTGTACTCACCGGAAAATGGTCTGTCGACAAAAAAGTTAAAAATGGGTGTTAAAACTGCTGATGTTTTCTCGAGAGCTCTGTAAATACTCCTCACTTTTCAGTGGCCTTGTGTTGCGTGACCTGCAGTTGAATTGGGGTCAGTTTAGCTAGCTGCTCTTTGCTCACGGTAATCTTCGGCTTGCTGCTGGTGCTTGCTGTCTTCTCTTCTTGACCCAGTGATGACCTCTGGTCGCTATTGCTGTTGCCCATCATTGGTGCTGCTGTTGTTGTTGTCGCTCAGCTGTCCTCACCTGTGAATGACACAGCACTGTGCTGTGATGGCAATTGTTGACAAATATGGAATGCAAACGCAATGCAATGATAAGTATTATGCAATCAAAACACAACACAACAGCAAAATATATCCACTCAGTGAGGATCCAAGGATTCACACACTTGCACGTGGATATAGTCTCGGCAGTGTGTGTGTGTGGCGGGAATCCGCCACTGTCTCCTGACTGAATTACCTCAAAGTATTCCTTACAGCATCAGCTCTAATTGATTAACATTTTACAATTAAATTAGATTTTCTTATCATTATCAGCTGTCTTGGCAGCGGACGTCTTCTTCTGGACGACCACCAGAAGTTTGCTGGGCATCTTTTTGGCGACGGAAGCCGATGATGCTTTTGCCTTCACCTGGCTTGTTGAGTCCTTGCCCACCGAGGTGCCACTAGTCTTTTGGGGCACCACCTTTAAGCCTGATGAAGACGTCTTGGTGCACTTACTGCCACCTGCAGCCGCCTTGGGCGGGACGCTTTTCAACTCAGACGGAGGCTGCTTTACAGACGGTAGCTCAGTGGCACAACTGCCTTCTGACAGCTGCTGCTTGCTGCAGTTCACGGTGGTCACAGCTGCGAGCTCCAACGCCTCTGACTTTCCAGAAGACTTTGAAGGAGGAACGTACGAGGAGAAGATGCCGTCTGTCGGCGAGGACTTTGACGATGAGGTGGGGCCGCTGCCGCCGCCGCCGCTGCTGCTGCTGCTACACTTCTCCGAATTCTCCGACTGTTTCAGTGGAATGAAGGCCATCGCACTCATGTCTTTGACGAGGAGGAAGGTGCGATTCTTCGGCTCTCCGGGTCGCTTCACCTTGACCACCTTGTAGGCGGCTTCGGCGGCCAGGCGGCATTCTTCCAGAGAGGTGCTCACCAGCATCACCTCGGCCGGCTGCAGGCCGCCCATGCAGTGTAACAGCTGAATGTAGCTCATTTGCTCTGGAGCGGATAAATTGAAGTAGAAAACGAGCTCACAAACTGCCCTCCCCCACTCACCACTGGGACTANTGACTTTCCAGAAGACTTTGAAGGAGGAACGTACGAGGAGAAGATGCCGTCTGTCGGCGAGGACTTTGACGATGAGGTGGGGCCGCTGCCACAGCCGCCGCCGCTGCTGCTGCTGCTACTCTTCTCCGACTTCTCCGACTGTTTCAGTGGAATGAAGGCCATGGCACTCATGTCTTTGACGAGGAGGAAGGTGCGATTCTTCGGCTCTCCGGGTCGTTTCACTTTGACCACCTTGTAGGCGGCCTCGGCAGCCAGGCGGCACTCCTCCAGGGAGGTGCTGACTAGCATCACCTCTGCCGGCTGCAGGCCGCCCATGCAGTGTAACAGCTGAATGTAGCTCATTTGCTCTGGAGCGGATAAAGTGAAGGTGACAAAAACTAGTAATAGTCCTCACAAGAAGTTCCCCCACTCACCACTGGGACTGAGAAAGTCCGGACTGAAGTAGCCGTCAATGTAGCCGCTCAGGTCGCCGGCGCTAGTGAAGGCGAAGAGCTTGTGCTCGGTGTCGATGGCGGGCGAGGCAAGTCGCGAGTAGACGTACTGCTTGATGCCCTCGCCGTGGCGCTTCTTCAGCGCCTCCACGAAGCGCTCGTGCACGGTGATGGCGGCCCGGCCAGCGGCCATAGCGTGCGCCACCACCCACTTGATCAGCTTGTAGTCGGGACCGTTTGGCCTGCCCAGGTCCACCTTCTTGCACTTGCGCTTCATGCGCCAGTTGATGTAGAAGCACACTGAACCCTGTGTGTAAAGAGAAGAAAGATTCAACAAAGTTATGAAGTGTAATTTTCCGGTACTCACAATGATGGCCGCCGGTGTCTGCGTGGACTTGAAGATGACCGGCGAGGTGGGGTCATTCTCCCGTTCATCGTACGACTGCTGACGCAGGTCCTCCAGCAGGTCGAGCAGCTCCTTCTGGTTGAAGAACTCATCGAGGAAGAGCGGCAGGTTGACGCTGGCAATGTTCATATAGTCGAACTTCAATCGGCCTTCGGTGATGAAGACGTCGATGAAGCGGTAAAGGATCGCCTTGGGACGTTCAAGCATGTGTATGTGCGGTGAGTAGGACATTCTGGTCAGTGCTTTTGGAAAAAGTTCAATGACGTGAGTTGGAATAAGATTACTGAGTTTTTATTGCCGTTATGAGTAGACGTAAAATAGAACTACAAAAAGAGTGCTTTGTTGAATAAAAAATTCACAGATTACTTTGCAAGGAACACTGGTGGAAAGTAGCAGAACTAATGCTACTTTAATAATAATAACAAAATTAAAAACTGTACAACAGTTGTACATATGTACAGTGAAAAATTTAAAATTTAAAGAGGAGCCGTAATGCTCAACTCCAGTTGACGGGAGGAGGATGTGCCAAGGTCGCTGGAGGAGAAGGTGGTGGTCGCCTGATGGTGCGGGCAGCAGCACTCTCTACTTGCCCGCAATGGGCGATTGAGTAGAGGGCGAAGGTGGCTGGGAGGCTGGCGAGGGAAGTGCGCCAGCTGTTTTAGCTCCCGGAGAGGGCAGAGCACCACCTGAAGACTTGGCTCCAGGCGAAGGCAGAGCTCCTCCACCACCACCGGTTGACTTGGCGCCATGTCCCGGGGATGGGCTGCCACCATTGTTTCCGCCAGGAGGGCCACTTGAAGAGGAAGCCGAGGAAACGGAGTTCTTGGGAGCGGGACTTCCTCCGCCGCCGCCAGAGCTGGGACTGGCGCCGCCTGCGCCTGCTCCGCTCTTGGGCAGCGATGGAGGATGCCCAGCAGCAGCCTTGGGAAGCGGAGAGCTGCTGGGAGAGGAAGCAGCAGGCGGTGGGGGCATGGTCTTGCCGGCGAAGGCACTCTTGGCGCGCTTGGAGCTCCTGCGCGACTTGACCGACATCGACTTGGCTCCACGACTTCCCTTGGCGCGGCTCTTCATCTTCCCGCCAAACTTGCCCCCGCCGCCTCGTTTTCCACGACCACCAAACTGGTTGTTGTACTGGCCCTCGATGTGCGAGACAAACTTCTGCAGGGAGTGCAGACTGAGGGAGACCAGGGCGTCGGGGTTGGCGGCAGGGCTGCCCAGACCGGACAAGCCGCCTCTTCCGCCTCCTTTGCCGCTAAAGCCACCACGGCGGCTGCGACGAGATCCGCGGCGACTTCCGCCAAAGCCGGCAGCGCCCATGCCTCCCGATCGACGACGACCACGTCCACGACGAGAGCGACCACGGCGGCCACGGCCTCGAGCACTGCCAAAGGGACTGCCTTCAGCAGGGGCGGAACTGCGGCGAGAACGGCGACGACGGCGACTTCCTGATCGGCGGCGGCGACTGCCGGAACGAGCACTGCCTGCTGATCGACGACGACGACGGCGGCTGCCACTGCGGCGGCTGCGACGACGTCGGCCACCTCTTCCTCCGCCTCCGCTGCCAGGCAGAAAGCGGCCCTGTTCATCTCGTCCCAGCGAAGATCGGCGTCCACGACGGCTGGAGCCGCTGCGGCGGCGGCGAGATCCACTTCGACGACGACGACTGCCAGAGCGTCGACGGCTGCCACTGCGACGGCGGCGACGACGACTTCCCGGTAGCTTGGCTGAGGCGCTGCGGCGTCGACGGCTGCCAGAGCGGCGGCGACTGCGACGGCGACGACGCCCACCACGTCCACCAGAGCCACTGAGTTTGCTCAGCTCATCGAACTCGTTCTGGGCAGAACTGCGGCGGCGGCTGCGGCTTCGGCGACGAGAGCCACTTCGGCGACGGCTGCGAGACCCGCGAGATCGGCGTCGGCTGCCAAAGGCGGCCAGGCCTCCTCCACGACGGCCTCGACGACGACGTCCACCACCTCGGCGGGAGCTGCGGCGTTTGCGACTTCCACTGCGGCTGCTGCTGCTGGAACGGCCTTTACGGCTTCGGGAACGGCGACGGCCACTGGCAGAGCGTCCACGTCCTCGACCGCGACGGCTTCGGCGACGACTTCGAGAGCGGCCCGTCACCGGCAGTCCGTCATCAGCAACCGAAGACTTGCGACTTCGGCGGCGACGACGAGAGCCACGCAGTGACTTGTTTCGGCGACTGCGGACGCTGCCGCTGCGACGGCGACTACGACGGCGACGACGTCCACTTCCTGAACGTTTGGCAGAGCTGCGGAGAGACTTGCGACTTGATGACTTGCCACGGCGACGACGAGAAACTTTGCTTCCACCGCTTCGACCAGCTCCGGAGCAGCAACTCAGGCAGTAAGGACCATGGCCGGCCCCTCGTGATCGCATTCGTCCACGAGCCATGATTGTCGCCTTTGAGCCACCAAACTAGATTGTCGTCAGCACAAGCACACAAAGCAGTTTTGGGTTCAAGTGATAAAGATGACGTGTGCTTTTTTGCTAGCAAAGTTGGAGTAATTACAATTGCAAGCAACAGAGAGTAGTGAGTTGTCTAATGTCAGTGGTACCATGTTTTAAAGGTTTAAGCAAAAGTTCTATATTTTCACCTTTTTTAAGCAAAAAAGTTCTAGATCCATCTAGACACTTTTCATTTGAGCGCCAACTTTGAATTCAATTACTTTGAGTTTGAAAAATGTTGCATCCGAATGGCAATTGTAATATTTTTTTTATTGTGAATTAAAATATTTGTAATGTTATCACATGTTTGGAGAAGTAAATGGGAAAATCATTAGAGGGATGACTAGAAATAAGAAGGGGAAAATAGTTTAGTGATGGGAAAGGTGGGGCATTTGTGCGATCAAAAGTAGTGGTCATAAATTGTTTTCAAAATACAGACCATTCATTTGGTGTTTGAAGCTCTTTAGTTTTGTGTACAACAGACAAAATACTTTTACAAACGATCAACAGAAATAAAAATTTTTGACTAGAACTTTTGACTATGAAAATGATTTGAACGTTTGGTTTTGTTGTGTCAACATTACTTTGTCGTACGGCGTTTCAGCTTCTTCTTTTGTCCGAAAAGCTTTGAATAGAGACGTTTAAATGCATTCTTAAAATCCGGACTGCAAAAAAACAGACAAATTATCCATCAAGTGTCGACAAAATCAAAGACAAAGATTACCTAAAGATTGTGTAGAGCAGAGGATTGAATGCACTGTTACTCCAGCCCAACCAGAGGAGAAAGTCAAAAACGTACTTGTTGATGACGCAATCTTTGCAAAAAGACATGTAAAGGACGCAGGTGAAGAAAGGCAGCCAACAGATGAGAAAAATGCCTGAACAAAAGATGAATATTAGAATAAGAAAAAGAATATGATCTCAAAGTTATTTTACCTGTGATGATAGTGAGCGTTTTAGCGGCCTTGCTTTCCTGTTTGCTTTCATTACTGTCATATCGGGTGATTTTACTTCTAAACTGCAGCTTCTTCTTCTTCTTCATGCTTTTATTGCTATCAGCAGTTTTGCTTACACCTCGTTGACCACTGGGAGAGTGATGCTTCACTGATCTTCGAGTGGATGAGGTTCGTCGGTGATTGAAGGTGTTTGGAGTTGCAGTAGTGATTACCAGTGAGGGAGGTGATGCTGTTGTGGTGCTTTTGACCGGACTCAGGCTGACCACCACTTGGGCGCCACTCTTTCCATTCACAGTGACGCCGTTCGCTGAGGGTGATGGCGATAAGGAGGGGCAGTTGATCATTTTTTCCGCTTGAGTCTCAGCAGGAGCAGTTGTTGAGGATGATTTACGGCTTCTACTTTCATTTGGAGCAATCACTGCAGTTGGCACTTTTCCCGTTTCTTCCTCTTCCTCCTCTTCCTCATCTTCCTCCTGAAGTTTCTCAATGGGAAATACCGTAGGAAAGTCTATCGTTACACCGCCGTTTGTATCCCCTTCTTCCTCTTCCTCATCATCTTCCTCTTCATCCTCCTCCTCCATCTCCTCATCCAGTTCCTCTTCGTACTCCTCTTCAGTGAACTCCTTTCCCGAAGAACAAGCATCCGCCACTGTTTCTCCATCGTACGAGGCAAAGTCATCCACGTAGACGACAATGTTTGAAGTTGGACACTCTGGCAAATTGACAATGAAGGAGTCCCTTCGAGGATGCTGGTGCTGATGATGGTGATGATGATGGTGATGGTTGTGGTTGTGATGCGTAAAGTGGTGCAGTGATGAGCGTCTCTGAAAATCAGACATTCTTCGGTTGTTGTTTGTCGTCGTGGACTCTGTCGTCGCTGACTCCTTCGCCGACTGATCACTGGCAGTGGTGCTGCTGCTGCTGGCACAGCGCACATACTGCTCACACATGTCTGACTGCTTCTGCTGCTGAAAGGCGAGAAACTGCGCAATGGAAAGGCGTTTTCCCTGCAGCGTCGCCTGGCTGATAGCCGCGTACTCCCCATTTCCTACTCCATTGTTTCCTACTCCTTTTCCTCCTTCTGCTCCGGCACCGTCAGCTCCTCCTCCTCCTCCTCCGTTGATGACAATGGCTAGTGGACTGAGAGAGTTAGGCGACGTCTCCGAGAGCATTGTCGCCGTGGTAAAGTCCGTTCCGGTGGTGGAGGCGCTCGAGTAGACGCCCGAGGAAGAGGTGCCCGGGATGGCACTGGAGCTAAAGTAGTCATCAGCAGGGTTGAATGACGCCCGGTGGCCGCTGATGCTGCTGGTGGTGAGACAGGCAGAAGGCAGCTCCTGTCGACAGATGATCTCCGATTCCATAGATTTTCGAGGGCGGTAAAAGCTGGGCCGTCGACGAATGCGGTACTTGTAGCGCTGCTTCTTCAGCAGCAGTCTCGACTGGGCCACTTTAAATATGCTGCGTAGAGAAAAAAATAAAAACAAACAAAGTTTTAGTAAAAGTGAAAACACTGGAGCACCTGTCAACTAGACTTAGTCAAATAAATAGTGAGTGGTCGGTAGAATTTTTTTCTGTTCTCCGAATCACTGGCAGACGCTAATTATGTCGCCAGGAGAATAGACCACGGACACTGCTGCTACTGCTGGCCCTGTTCTCCGATTGACGTCATTGTGAGTGCCTGCAAAATGACTGCACTGTGCATCTTTTAGGGAAGAAGCATTGCAAGGAGTGCAAACGTGCCCTAAAAAACTAGTGCCCCAGTGCAGTGCAGCGTCTTGGAGCTCAATCATTTTTGTGGCCTGGGAGACAATGCTACCGCTGTAAGATGCTCTTTGCTAATTGTAATCTTCTCCAAAGAGGCTCTCCTCTACTCCTCCTGTCAAAGCAGTCAGTTTTTCGGGTACTGCTGACTTCCCACTGGCGAGCCAATTAGAACTCATTACTACTAAAACTAACCTATTAGGGCATGAAATTAGCGCCCAGTGCCTGTTTTTCTACTCAAAGCGAGACAGGCATTAGGTGTGCGTGTGTGTTCGCCAACGTTTTTTTGTGTGTTTCCGATATATTCCATAAATACGACGACATTGATGACGATGACGACTAATACGACTACCGACTACTTATATTTATACGTCTATGAATAGACACACAAGCTTATGCTGCAGACGTTTTTAATTAAACATAATCCTTTCTTTTCACTCCATTCAGTTTTTCTTTTTGCCTCAATCTCCTTCCCTCCCTTTTCACTGCAAAATAGGCTTAGTGAAATGGGTAAAATGTTAATTAAAATTTATTAACAAAAACATGCTGAATATTGCCGCTCACATGATATACAAAGGGGTTGCAGCTTAACAAAACGATTACCCAAAAGTAGACCAGTAAAAAAATAAAGTAGAGCACATCCAATAAAAAAATGTGAGATAGCACTGAATTCTCGCTAACCAACTGAAATTCTAGAAAATCTCAAAAACTGAAACTGCAACCTCATTTCAAATGGTAAGCAATAACACTAAAAAATGTTTGCTCTTCTTCAGTCTTTGAACAAAACACTGTGATAAAATGTAAAAACTGGAGAAACTACACTTTGAAATGAACAACATCATTAGAACTGCCACTGTTCAGTAGCACGTGCTTTATGCAAGAGTGCCTACATCTCCATTACAGTAGCTTAGAAGTGGAATTAGCAAGTAGCCGAAACAACAAAAATGTCCTTCGTGCGTCATAATGCGCCTTTAGTGTGAGAAAATATGTACTCTGTTTTGACTTGCCGAATCTCTCGCACTGGATGACTTACCGATAGTAGAGAAAACAGAGGAGAGCACTGGGTGCGTAGAAGGAGAAGACGGTGGCAAACACCTGGTAGGACATGGCCTGCGAGACGAGACACAGCTTCTGGTGGATGATGCGCTCCTCAAAGTCGGCGTCCTTCCACCCGAGCATCGGGCCCAGCGAGATAACCCCAGAGAAGAGCCAGATGAGGAGAATGCCCAGACAGACGTGTTTCGCCTTGCGCCGGTGAATGTAGTCCACCGTGGTCACCGCCCAAAAGCGGTCACAGGCGATGGCCAGCAGGTGAAAAATGCTACAGTGGGGAAAAGATGATGAAATGATGATGGCGATGAAGCTAATAACTGTGATTGCAAATAGCACACACTACTTACCTAGCTGTACAGCAGAGCACATCCACAAAGGTCCACATCTCGCAGAGTCTGGTGCCCAGGTTCCACTCCTGCGTGACCTCGTAGAGCGCCCCAATGGGCATGACCAGACAGGCGACCAGCAGGTCGGTGACGGCCAGCGACAGCACCAGGTAGTTGCCCACTGTGCGAAGGGCTCGCTCGAGGATGATGGCAGAGATGACAAATACATTTCCTGAATAGCAATGAAAATTGGAGTTGATGACAAAAAGCTTACTTTTTAACAGAAAATAAGGACAACTTACCGATGATGGTCGTAAGAATGAGGCCAACTAGTGTGACGGAGACGAGCACCAGAAAGAGCGTATTTGAGCTGGTGGAGGCGGCCGGACCGGTGCCCGTGAGGACGCTCGCCTCCGCAAAACTGTGGTTCAGGTGAAAGTTCACTAGAGGCATCAGGCCGCCGTATGGGGACGATTCGGGGTCTTGAAGACCACCACCTCCGTCACCACCGTCACCACTACCACCACCACTGACAGCACTGACTGCCGCAGCGGCGATGCCCGCTACTACCGAAGAGGAGGAGGAGTGGCCGCTGCTGTTGTTGTTGCTGTTGCTATTACCGCTGCTGCTGACAGTTCCGTTGCCGCTGTAGCCCTCCTCAAAAGCTCTGGTCAAACTTGCGCTACTGTTGAAGAAGAAAAGAAGAGAAGTTCCCTCTGTAGTGGTGGTTTCTGCACTGCTGCTGCTGGCTGACAGATTGGCACTGATTCGCATTCTGACTTGTGCAGACAGAGGGCAGTTGGCAGCAACAGTGATCACCACTGATGAGAGGCAGCAGCAGCAGCAGCAGCAGAAGCACTCTCGGCAAAGTGTGCTTCTGATAAAGCGATTGTTTTGTGTTGGCCGAAAGCAAAAAAGGGCTGGCAGATTTGTGCTCAAGCGGACAAAAAGTACGGGCGGTAGGTCATGAGAGGAAGAAGGAGGAGGAAGAGGAGGAGGAGATTGGGAGTCCAATTAGGTGATGGATATTTTTTGCGCCCTTTTCTTTTGTTTTAAAGCAGCAACAAAATTGCGGTGCCGTTGTCTGATTTGTGCAAAGTGCAGCAGCTCAACGAACGGGTAGACAAAACTTCACCTGAGGGCTAAAGTGACAGGCTGAAGTGAGGTTGCTGAGGTTCCCGCTGCACTTGCGGTGGTGCTTTTCAGTGGTGCTTGGCGCTTAGGGTAGTGCTGCATTCGAATTCAGGGTGCAGCTTCAAGTGCTTTGAGTGCGTCCAATTTATTGTGCGTTCGGTTTTCTTTTCAGTGTTACCTTTTTTCTAGTCAGCGGTGATTGGACAGTGTGTTTTAGTTGCGCTACAAAAAAGAAGACAAAACCAAAATCTGATTAGCGTGATGTGAATGAAAAAAGGAGAAGGTGAAGTTTAGAAGTAATAAGAGTAACTGAGAAGCTACCTCTACACTTGACATGCAGTGAGTGGTGCAATACAAAGTGTTGCGGCTTTTAACTCAATTAATCCTCATTGGCAAATTAATAATATGGCTGTAGCAAAAAAGTACTTTAACAAATCAAATTAATTTGCCCAAACAGCGAGTTCAACGCACACTGAGGGGCTGGGAAAACACCAGTCAGTTGGTGAGCGGAGCTACTACTGAGAAACCAAAGAAACTACAACGTATTTCTTTTTCTGTAAATCACAACAAATTAATGTTGCAATTAATTAATTAATAATTTACCGTCCCATTTTGCTGTCTTTCAAACTGCCAACCGCAGACAGTTTACCTTCACTCTGCACAAATCATGATGGTTTGTTTATTTTTGCTGCTTTTTTGCCTCTGCCATTTAGCTACCTCGAAACGGCAAACTGGAAAAACTGACAAATGGGAAAGCAAGTGCAGTGCTGCTGCAGTGATAGCCACCCTCTACATTGTGTGGTTGTGGCTAAAGTATTAATATTTATGGGCAAATTAATGGCCGCTAATGACGAACATGAGGTACTGGTGGTGAGAATGGGGCACACACTTGTCAGGCAAACAGCTTGCCGGAGAAGTGCACCCCCAAAACGGCATTGTCAGCAAAAAACCACCATTTTGGCCCACTTTAGCTCGGCGACAGNGGTGGTGAGAATGGGGCACACACTTGTCAGGCAAACAGCTTGCCGGAGAAATGCACCCCCAAAACGGCATTGTCAGCAAAAAAACCACCATTTTGGCCCACTTTAGCTCAGTGACAGGCTGCGAACATCATTTAGCACTAGCAGTAGGGGTAACAGCAAAGTGGCAATATGCTGCACTTTAATTAGTCCAATAGGCAATTAAGTCGATGCTGACGCAGTCACTTCAGCTTCAATTCGTCGCCGCTTTGCAAATGTCAATACGAGGAAGAATAATTTCCCTTGGGCTAGTGATTTTAAGGACGAGGACGAGGTTGCCCGGAATAGCAGGAAAAGTTTCTGCTAAAAGTCAAGTTGAAACAGACATCTTAAGTGATCAGCAGGGCGCAAGAAGGTTTCCTGGCTGTGAGGGTTCTTCTTCGTTACAAGAAATGAAAAACAATAGGCAAAAAAAGTTAGGTAAAATGGAATTAGAAAAAAATAAAATCGGTTTCCTCACTGTGAATTCCTTTTTCCTTTGGGGCGTCCCTTTTAACTTGATAGTCTTTGTAATTTAATTTGAAATCTATTTAGAAAGGAAGACAAGATGTCAGTGTATATGGAAGCTCAAATTCGATGACTTTGCTTCAAAACAACTGAAGCGTTGAAAGGAAAAAAGAGAGAAGGAAAGACGTCGGCGATTTCTGTCAATTCAAGGTGTCACATTAAAAGGCAAGGCAAGGTAAACAAAAAAACTAAAAAGGGAGCATTGGTAAACAAAGGTAGAATCTCAATTGCCTTGACTCAAATGTCAGACAATACAATGTGTGTGTTTAAGAGAATTTGCTCAATTTCGCTGTAATTAAAGTGCCCCTTTCTATGGATGTCGTCAATGTGCTAAGGTGTTGCTATCGTTTCCGGAAGGTAGGCTCGTCTTGGAAAACACACACAGCCAAATGGAACAGTGAGTATATTAGGGCAAATAAATAATATTCTAGCCTACTACGTAGCTGCAACTAAAACTGCAATCGAATATTCTTGCAATATTTAAAAACTATATAAATGATCTGCCAAGCAGAGTGGCGCGTATGTGCCAACAAACGACAGCCGCCGCCGTTCGCTTGGTGTTTGGTGGCATCGCCTGACGACGACAATGTCAACGACAAATGATTCTGCTTCAGTTTCACTTTTTTCTTCTCTCTTTTTCCTCCCGTCATCCGTCGAACGGAAATAATATCGTTTCTGGCGCCAAAAAGTTTCAAACTGTTTGAGTTTGCTTGAAATGGCGCCCAGTGTTGGTGCTTTTGCTTTTTGCCGGTCCGTCGGTCGGTCTACAGTACAGTTTGTCCTGGCTCCCGGCTCCTAGAGATAGAGAGTGCTACTGGTGCTGGTGCATTCACGGCAAAGATTAACGTCACCGAGAGTGCTGGATGTGGCAGCGGATGATAAACAAAATAGCAGCGGTCGAAAGAAGCGGCGTCGGCAGCAAATTAAGCACAGCGAATTAGAAGAAGAAGGCAAAAGCGACGAATAGAGAGGAGCACAAGAGGAGGATCAATTGTCAATATTTAGCTTCGATAATCGGGAACGCTCATTCTCTCTTTCTCTCTCCTGATCTGGTTCTTTTTTCCCGTTCGCGCACTGTACGAGAGTGAGGCTGTTGAACCGGAGAAAATTGAATTTTTGCTTTGTTTTCTTTTTGCTTCCCTTTTGCCTTCTTTTTTCCTTCTAAAAGGCTGAGCAGTTGCAGTGAATGAAGCTTATGACACAATAGTGTACGAACAGGCAGTGCTCTTCCCTGTGAAAGCTCAGCTCGGCTTAGCTACGTTGGCTAATTCGGAGAATACCAAAACCTTCAAAAGAGCTTGTTTTGCTCAACTCTCTCCGGCTGCTCAGGAGGCACACTTTTTTGGGGACACTGATTAGATGGTTAATAAAAACTGAGCTTCTTTTACACCACTGCTTAGCGAGAGAGCTTTAGCGGGAAATCTCATCCAGTCAGAGAATTAAGCGGAATTAGAGCTGTCATTTTTAATAATTCACTTCATGTAGTGGCAGGAAATATGGAAAGAAATGACCGGAATAAGCAATTACCTTTTGAAAGGAAATTATTGCCAAAAATTGCCACCATCATCATCGACGTCGCTGTGCAAATCAACGGAAGACACTTTTTCTCTTTCTCTTTCTCATTACTACTGCGCAATTACCCGGTTGGACAGATGGCGACTTTCCCAAATGGTTCACTGTTTTAATTGCCTTCTCAAGGTTGTAATGATTTTTTCTGTCCGTCTCAAATCACTCACTTTTTTACTCATTTTACTTTTTTATGTGTCAAAAAAGTCAAAATGAGTCTCTGCTAGTGTCGAACTCCTTTAAGGGGAAAACCTTAAAAAAAATTTTTCATTTTCATCTCTGACAAGAATTCCCAGAACCAACAAAACTAACGAGTTCTGCTAAAATTTGAGGTGACATGTTGCAATAGCAGCATATTTTACTCAGCATTCAAATTTAATAAATTGGTGAAATATCCAGTAAAATAGAAAACTTTTTTTTAAGATACACATGAGCACATTTCTTTTTTACTTTACAGCAACTTTAAGGTTTCAGCATAAAATAAAAGCTAATGTACAGCGGCCAATTGCAATGTAAACTTTGGAAATGACCTTCCCTATTAGATTGTGCACTGAACAGTGCTACAAATCGATTAGGTAATTGCCCGCAAAAATGATACACTGAATCAATTTTTTTTCATTCTCAGAAATTGGGGAAACAATCATTCGAGTAGAAAGTCAAACAAAGTATTTCTTCTCAAGTATCTTTGAGTTTCGTTGCTAAAAATGAATACCGTTTGTGTAAAAAATATACGCGTGTTAGCATTTTTTTTAATTTTTTTCCGTTTATTCACATCCTCAAAGTCAATGCCCACAACCTTTCAATATTCAAGTCGTACATTCAGTTGAATTTAAGAATCACACATGAATCATCATGTTGATGATGATTTAATTGCATCGTCATAAAACTAGCAACTTAATGTACACTTTCTTGTTTATTTTTTGACGCTAAAAATTGCATCAATTCTAACAGTCAGCTTAACTTTCTTACAGATACATCTTCAAGTTTCTACCCAAACATTAAGCATGATTCAGTAAAGTTTTTCCTTTTTATAAACACTGACGCAAGTGCAGTGACATATTGCTGGTGTCAATGAAACAACTGAAAGAAAAAGAAAGTGAGAGCACATTAGCAGAGAGTGTGTTTCTTTCAGATTTTTTGCTTGCATCTGACGTGAGAAAAACCAGAAAACTTGAAGACAAGTTTGGCTAACTGAAAGCTAAAAACTGAAAAAACACACTACTAGCT